CTTCCAACGATGTCGTGGAACTGCCCAAGCACTCAGACGGTCTTCATAGCAGGTCCAGCCCAACTAGTTTCACTCCCAACGCCCTTGGGACACCAAAACACTACCCCATAGACAGTATCCCCGGCTGGTTCTGCTCACAGACCCGCAGTGCACCGACGGAGCGAGCTCAACGTCTCTGAAAGTAGCAATCGAACAGGCGGACGGCCCTATCTTTCCAGCACCAAAGGTCTATTTACACCAACTCTCCGGCATATCGCCTAGCAGGCCCTCCGACTGTTTGTAACTCGGCATCTGTGGCCGTGGCTTGCCAGACGGAGCAAGCTCTACATCTGCGCAAGTGGAAACAAAATGTCCATTCCGTCTACGGCAGAGGTTGATTTAACTTCAGTCGCAGAAACTCCACTATCCACCCATAGAATAACAAGGCACTCGCTCTGCCTAAGCACCTTAGTATGGAGCTGGTTCAACACACCAAGGCGCCTGAAATGGAGACCTCACGCGACTTAATTTGTAGCCTCGGCAGGCCCGGGGCACCATGGTTCACAGCCCAATGGCACACCAGTGTAACAGAGCCAAGAGCATGACTTGACCACACCATAATTGCAAGGTTTCAGTCCGGCATGCTTGGTGGCCCCTTCTGCCAGTCGACACACCATGTTCACATAACATGAATTTGTCCTACCTGTGCCGTTGCCCCTTGCTCCTCTGCCTGTTTGAAAGGATGAAAGCAGCTCAAGTTCTGACCAACACCTAGTACCACACAGAAGCAGGGAGTCAGTCCGGGCTAGTCACCAGTGTCGGTGTCCGGCGAGCTTCTTCTTGCCCTCCTTCTGCCAGGTTTCGGCATCAGGATCCTACGTCTCAGCATCGCCTCAGGTGAGCGTCTGCGGCGGGCCAGCATGATTGCGTCCTCCGCCCCAACGTCCATGGTGTCCTCGGCCTTGTCGTTGTCCAGGGTATCGTCTACTGGCACCGTCGACAGCTCATCTGGGGTGCGGCCTTGTTGCTTAGCCTTCTGTGTGGTCGTTTCCTCGCGGACCTGGTCTGGCGTTTTTCCATGCAGATACCAGGACTGGAAGACCCGCATGACGTCTCCTCCCCATTTGTCCACCAGGTCCTGGTGCAGGAGGTCCCCCGTGCACAGCTCAGTACCCGATCGGATGAAGAAGCCACCACGCTGGCGATGAAGCTCATAGCTGCCCATGTCAAAAACTGGGAGAGCGTCCAGGCGGTCCTGGTTGGGCACACAGGTAAGAAGGGAGTCGTGTGGTGTGGAGACCGGCTCACGGCACAGGAGGAATGGGTCACCCGTTGGATGACACTCGTGCTGGACGATGAGACCCACCGGAAGCCGCCAGAAGAGGCCTCGTCGTCAAGTGAACCACCGCCAACGGTGCCATGGGGAGAGGAAAGCCCTGAAGAACAAAGGAAGCGGCTCGAGGAGGAACAGAATAAGCTCGACCAGGGTCTCTACCAGTGGCATCAACGAGAACGACAACGACAAGAGGCAGAAGAGGCGCAGCTCGCTGATGACGCGGCGATGATGGCCAGGATGGGCTGGAGTGACAGACCAGCCACAAAGCGGCTGAGGCTGTCCATGCAGGTGTCCAGCCAGACGGCGAGCAGGTACTCTGAAATCGAGGTGGGCGAAGGGGACACTGTCTCGATTTCCATCCAAGCATCCCTGGTGAACCATGGCGAGGAAGTCTTTAAGGCAGGCAAGAAGATGGAACCGCGGGATGCCCGAGAAGCCCTGAGACTCGAGGAGGAGAGGCTACGACAATTCCAACCTGAGAGGGAGCCACCCAGGCCGGAGCCAAGAGGCTGGTCAACCAACAGCGAGGAAGTCAAGCCCTACTATGAGGCCTGGAGGGAGGGTAGGATTGACTTCGAGGGCCTCAAAAAGGCAGTGGGGCCCGATGTGGCCTTGTTCGTGGTTGAAGCTGCAGAGGTAGCTCAACTACAAGTGGATACACTGCACGATGTGGACACCTCCCAGCGGGAGGCGTGGCAAAGTGGAAAACCGCTGGAGGACTTGCTCAAGCACCCCGCATGCAGTACTGACTACGAAAGGTGCATCGTTGAGAGCCTGTGCTGTGTCTCGCTTTCTCACCTTGTCTCGTACAATGCCTGTGATTGTTCTCTGCATCAGCTCCACTTGATCATCGGCCTCCTTTTGGTCCAGGTCGTGGAGCTCCTTGATCGTCAGGTAGACCTGCTCCACCCACTGCGTTTGGGTCAGGCTGAGCGGGAGGTGTTGCACGTCCCCAGCTCGTATCTGCTTGTGGGGCACAACCACCGCCATCTCCTCCAGGGTGTCCATCGCACTTGCCGCCCGGTCCTCGTTGCTGCTGCGACGGGCGATCAAGTTGGCCACCTCTTGCAGCAGGTGCGTGACAGTCTCTCCAGCCACCCATCTGTCCTCTAGGGTATCACGTAGCGAGCACAGTCGGGCGTTTACCTCCGTGAGTTGGGCCGCCAGCGCCCTCCTTCTTTGTTGATTCTGTCCCCGCCGTGCTCTTTTGTGGGCCTGCCCCTCGTTCTGCATAAGGGCCACAACCTCCTCATCGTCGGGAGGGCCATCATCCACCACCACTTCCACTTCTTCATTGGGGTCAGTCGCTGTGTGGGCCGCACTCTCTGAACCCCTAGCACGATCACTCGCCTCTGTGCCCCTTCTGTCGCGGTCAGCCCGAGCTTGGTCCACTATGGCCTGCAGGTCCTGCTGGATCATGTGCATGCACCTTGGGAGGGCTTCGCACATCGTCTCGAAGTCGGCCGCCGTTTGGTGCACGAGCGTCTCATAGACGTTGCTCCAGGTTGGGTCGTTGATAAAGGCCGGGAACCTTGTCGGGTCCTCATCCTCGCACTCGTCGTCCGTATCCAACTGCAGCAACGAACGCCACACAAACTGTGCGTCCAGGCTGTCCATGGCGCCCGGCGCCCGGGTTGCACGGGCCCGTGTCCTCCATCGCCCGTCGTCCCGGGCCCGCTGTTGAACTGGACGCACGGTTGGACAACAGGCTCCTTGTGGATGTGGTGACCGTGATGCCTGGTCCCTTCCTCCATGCAGCTGGGTTGTCTACCAGCTTTCGCAGCGTTTTGCCATCCTTTCGCTTTACCAGCCATCTTTTTGCAACCAGGGCCGTCACATCCCCCTCCATCTCATTGTCTTCCTTGGTCACACTCCGCGGCGACAGGAGGGTCCGTGGCTTTTGTCTCAGAGCACTGGTTACCTCCTGGTCCGAGCACTCCTGGTCCTCGTCTGTGTACCTTCTTCTGCTGGGGCCAGTGTCTGACTCGCTCGGCTGCGGTTTGTTTGCTCGTTGATGTTGTCGCTGCGGTGTTCGCGATCTCGAGAGGGCTCGTTCGTGGCGTTCTCGCCATTCTCTGTGGAGCGCTTCATCCGAGCACGAGATGTCCTCCATGTCATTGTGAGCCCTTGCGCGCTCGCAGGCGCGGTTCATCACCGCCTCCGGGCAGAGCATGCGCAACCACCTTTGTCGTAGCTGCTGGGCCGTCTCCATCGCGAAGGTCTTCGTGTACTCCCTGGGATGAGGTCCCCAGCCCGGCCGCCTCCCTTCCTGGCTGTACTGCAGCCACCTTCTTCGCAGTCCTGCCACCCAGCCTGCAGCAGCCGCTTCGTACCTGGGGTCGTTCTTCGCCAGGATCTCCGCCTCAATGGCTTCAGCCACCTCCGTCATCGGGATGCCCGACCTCTGCAGCTCGTAGCCGTCGTCCAATATGGTCATGAACCAGAGAGGTTCTTCGCCATCTCGAAAAGCATCCTCGAAGCCCCGGGTCATTCCCGGCAGGAGTGGCAGGGCCAGCAGTTGCAGCCTTGACAAGGCCTGCCAGTAGCTCACTTCGTCAGGCACCGACCCTGGGCCTCGTCGGCGAGGTCAATCTCCCGGGTCGTGTAATGGGGGCTGTCCGGCATGTCCTCGGCCCGCCGACCTCGATGACGGTGTCCCGGATCATATTGTGGTCGACGTAGCTCATCTCGGTGTGTTTGACCCTCTGTATGAGCCTTTGTCCAGGTCACCTCCTCCTTTCTCTCTCCATGGTCGGGCGATTGCCGCCGTCCCTCGTTTGTGGGGCTCTTCTTGCTTCTTCCTGGCCGCTCTCCTTGCCCAGGTCGTGCTCCTGGTTGGGCCCTTCTGCGAGGTTGTTCATCAGATCTATCCTCCGTTCTCGCGAGGGTCATGTACTCGGTGGTCTCCCGGGTCTCCGCAATCCAGCTTTCCTTCACACTACCCTCGGTCATCTTCGGCTTGGTCGTGTACTGGGGGGTGTCCAGGGCCTTCACGGGCCGCCGATCTCGGTCACGGTGGGCCTGATCAGGTTGTAGCGCTCCACCGTGCTTGGGCTCACTCGCTTCTGGTTTCCCATCCTGTTCAGCCATCGCATCTCCTTCGGTCTTCTTCAGCTGGAACATGTAATCGATGGCATCCCGGGGCTCCACGGACCGCCGAGCTTGGTGTTGGTCCTCTGGATCGAATTGGGGTGCTCCATCGCCTCCTCCTTGCGCACAAGGGTCTGCCTTCACGGACTGCCCTGCCGCCACGATGGCCACAATGGCCCAGAAGGGACGGAACATGCTGGTTTGCAGGGCTTACAGGTGCCTGCTTCGCTGCTTCACTGCAAAAGCTGCGGGCTCGCCTGGCACTGCGTGGTAAGGTACATGCAAGTCTGCGCAAACGACGCAGTAATCATGCACTGCCAAAAAAGACGTCTGTGAGTTCATCCCTGTCTTCCGGTTTGCTTCGTAGTTCAACTCTTCCTTGTCGGTCATTGAGAATGTTGAAGTCAGAGATAATTTCAGGGCATAACGATACACATAGTCAGCATTGTATGTTTGGGTACGGTTCTGAGGGATGACAGGTGGATCAGGGTACTTCTGCTGGTGCAAGGGCAGCATTGGTGGGAATGGCGAACCAGGGGGGGGGGGGTCTCCGCGGCTGCCATGCCGCTTCACTGTCTCCCCCACTCCTCTCATTCTACATTCTCAGGGCCAGTTGCCGTCCTGAGCACCACGCAATGTCATTCTGCTGTATCCACCTCGCTTCCGCTTGCTTCCACGCTGGCGGGTCTCTTGCCATTTGGCGCCAATCTCCACATCGGGCAGCCCTGTTTAGCCGGATCTCTTCATTGCTCAAGTGGGGGTAGAAGGCTGCTGGGTGTCGCACTCCGTCCCTCCAGCACTGTTGGCCTCTCCACCACCTCAGCGTGCGGAATTCGTCCATGATTGCACTTGCTGGCGGGCTCGTCCTCTGTGCCGCTCTGGCTACATGGCCCCGATACTGCCAGTGCCTCCGCAGCCACATGGTGCTCCACCTCTCCATCCCTGCATTGTACAAGATCTGTCGGGCTGCTCTCAGGCCTCTCTTCCGGAAATCGAGCCAGCTTTCTTCCGTCCTTCGCCTCAGGCCCGCCATTCGGCCAACCATTTCAAGTTGCATCGTATTCAGAGCCCCCATGCCTTGTGGCGTAGGTGTCGCTGCCGCCGAGTACCACAGAGCTGCTCCGCCCACCGTGGCTTGGAACACTGTGAGGCGTTTCTTGAGGGGCCCTCTGCACTCCAGGACATCCCTACTAGCATGAAACTTGCGGCGGGCTTTAGCCATCCCTGTGTCCATGATCGCAGCTGGTTTGAGGGGAACAGAGAAATGAACCCCCATAACCTCGAGAGTAGGGCTCGACCGAATTTCGACATCATCTAAGTGGATCACGCTCCCTTCCGGGGAGTGCGGACTGGCATAGAAGACGGTCTTGCGGGGGTTCACTGACAGGCCCCATTCCTGGAGGGAGTCTTTGAAGAGCCGATACTTAAGCTCGAGGCAGCTTCTCCGGCTATCCCACAAGATGCTATCGTCCATGAACAGCAGCGAGCTAAGTAACATGTCTGGAGCACTGGAGATCTCTCGCGGCCAGTTTTCCTTTGCCTGGGCCTTGTGTAGCGCGCACTCCATCGCTATAGCGAATATCAGCGGGCTTTCAACAGCCCCCTGGCGGATGCCCCTCGTCTGGGAAATCCGCTGGCATCCCCAGGGAGTCCGAACGTGAGCACTTCCCGGGCCGAGAAGTCGGGCCCATGCCTGGTACTCCCGGTACATATTTCCCGGGAGCTCCTTGGCGAGGTACTCCAGGATCTTCCCTCGATGGATGGAGTCATACGCTTTGTGGATGTCGATTTTTATCCACCCCAGCCCAAACCGCCACTCAGTCTCAACAGCGAAAGACTTGAACACACTAAAGAGGTAGTCTGCCGTTTGCCGTCCTCCCAAAGCGCACTGCTCCGGCCCCTTCGGCACTAGGACTGCTCTGGTTCTCTGCAAGATAAGCCCCCCAAAGATCTTACCTAGGGCAGAGCTTAAGCTTATGGGCCGCAGGTCTGCCGGCGACTCCGGTCTATTCTTCTTCGGCAAAAGCGTGATGATGGTAGTCATCCATGCTGCAGGGATCTCTGCTCCCATCCGGATAGACTCCATCCAGCTCAGCAGTGACCCTTCACTTGTCTCGTCTTTGCAGAGCGCCTTCACCAGTTCGTAAGAGGTGAGATCCAGTCCGACAGCCTTTTTAGTTTTCCCTTTCGCCACAACCGATCTTAGCTCCTCCGCCGAAAAGGGGACGCCATCCGTGGCCTCGCGGTTCCACGTCACTGCTGCCGTGGCCGCCGTCTCCTTGAAGAGGTCCGCGAAGTGCTTTGTCGTCCAGTTCAGGGGGTCCTTTTTTAATCGGTACGCCTCCTCAGTCATGTACACTGCCCATTCCGTCCCTGACCTATCCCTCAACTCTCTAAGGTCCTGCCATCCAGCCTGCCCCGCACGGGTGACCTTGGCCTCATGCCACGAGTCACGGGCCCGGCGTCTTAGGACCTGAGCTGCCTTCCAGGCTGTCTCAGTGTCCTCCTTGCGAGCTCTGCGGAAGGCCTGTCTCACATCCGGGGGGTCTCGGTATCTGTTCCCCTTTCTGGGTTGTGTGTACTGCTCGGCGAGTTGCTCCATCCTTGTTTGATTGAGGCCTGGCTGTGGGGGGATCTCACCTGTCACAACCCTGGGTCTGGTGTCCCACTCCGGCCCCGGGCTCTTGCCCAGGCTCACCGGCAGCCTAACTTCTATCCGCTCATGATCCCCGGATCCCTCGTCAATGTGGACCTCCGGCTTTCTAGAGTTCTTCGTCGCAACCCCGTCAATCTGACGACCTCTCGCATTCCTCCTCCGAGGTCTACTGGTAGGTGTGTCCCACTGTTCAACCCCTGGGGCTCTGAGGCTGTAGCCCTGCCTGTCAAGTTCACCCAAAAGGAAATCCAACCTCCCTGACGTAGGCAGTGCCTGTCCTTGGGCCCCAGCTGCATTCGTCCAACGGATTTGGGCGTTGTAGTCCGCCAGCACGACACTCGCGAGCACAGAAGGGGGACGGAGTTGCAGGACCTGCTGCATTTCGTCCGCAGTGACATCATCCGTCACCCCCGTGCTCAGTCTCGCTGACCACACCCAGAGCTCCGTGCCCAGTGTGACATCACGCAACCTCAGCCACACTCCCAGATCACTGGCCTTCCTTCGCAGGCACACATAGCGCCCAGATGGGAAGCATATGCCATTCCCTCTCCACTGGTCCTCTCCTCTGTACTGGACCAGTGTTCGATCCTCTATGTACGTTGTCTTCCACCCCGGGTGGATCCGAGGAAGCTCCTGAAAGGGCAAAAATTGCAGCTTTCTTTACTTTTTCTGCTTTGCAGACGTCTGTGGCGGCTAAAGCTGTTTCCACGACTTTGCCACCTATGTTCCATGAAAAGAAGTAGACCTCCCCCTCTTCGGCCTTTACCCCTCCGGGGCGGCTTTCCAGGTTTGGTTTCGGTTCCAAGGCATCATCCAGTTCACAGTCTTCTTGCACACTCCCTCGGGCCTTTCTATACACGGAGGGAACGGCGTTCCGCCCTCGCCGTCGCTTCTTTTGGCGTGCGGCCCCTCCCAACGGCCCTTGACACTCGTTGTACTCGAATTCTAGCTCCGCCTCCGAGTCCAGTCACTCAGAGATCAGCTCAGCCCATCTCTCACCGAGGCTCTCCGAGGACGTCCCAAGCAGCCTGGCGATCTGGTTGATGTCGATCCACGTGCCAGCCATCTTCCCCATGGCGACTTCCACATTTTTTGGGGCCGCTCTCGTCGCGCTCGCAACCATCATGGATCGCAACCACAGGGAGCCAGCGGTCCACTCCACATCCATGGCATGCTTTTCGGACTCGTTTACCTCCAAGATGAGCCTTATTTTGCTTTACCTGCATGGTTCGAGCGCAACCGCTCCATTTTGGTCTTGCTGATGGCTGCCCACAGATTCTTCCCTGCCGGCATGCTTTTACTGGCCATGCTCGCCCCACGGATTTCCTGCACGATTTTGATCAGACGGCGCTTGAGGTCCTGTTCCGACTGCCCCGCCGGCCACTTGACTATCCCCATAGCATGGCCTCTCCTAGGCCCCGTGGTGAACACATCCTGGAATTCTGCCAGAACCCCAATCTGCTCCATCATCTCCCTCAGTTCCGGTAGAAGGTCATCTCTATGGGTATCCGGCGACCAGCCCCCGAGGATAAGCAGGTTCTTTTGGTGCGACTCGCTTGAGCTCCCGGGGTACATGGTGCTGCCCTCACTCCTGCCATTCTCAAGCGCCTGGATCCTGGCCTCAAGTTTGTCGCCCTGGTCACGCAACTGTGCAATGTGATCGGTGTTCTTTGCGACCTCGGTCTTGATCCCCCTAATCTCCGTGGCGGTCGCCTGCTTGAGTTCCTGCATGGCCCCCCTGATCTCGGTCGCCTGCAACTTCGCCAAGTTCACACTCTGCGCCTCAAGCAATCTCTGGAGGTCCGCCAAGGTGACCATCTGCCCCCCGGCCGATTCACTCTCCACCGCCTCGCGCTTCCGGGACTTCTCAGGGCTCCCACTTCGCGCCAGGTCCTCGTCATCACTCGGGACCGGCACCGCCGCCATTTAGCAAACACCGCGTAGGCCGCACCGCCCCGACAGCGCGCACCCGCAGTGGGGGGAGGCTTCGCTACAATGGGACTTGAGCTTGAGCCTTGAGCCGGTTGATGTTCCGGGCTTAGGGTGTAGGCTTAGGATTCAGCGTTTGAGCCTTGGGTTATTGGGTTATAGGTGGACCTACTTATGAGGTTTTATCGGGTGTTATGGGGTGCTGACGATTCTACCGAGGACAGGTAGTAGCGCGTGTCGCCCTGTTCGCTTCTTGGCTATTGGAGGATCCTAGAGATAAGAATGGTTAGCCAGAAAAGCAACAACCCTAGGAAGGTTTGCCATGCCAGGCCAGAGAAGTAAACGAGCACAGGCAGGACAAGCAGCAACTAGGCATCGCAATATGACTTTTGTATATGACCCATACATATACATTTATACGCAAACATAAACATCTACCTTTTAAAGCAATACACAATTACACGTTTGAAACAAAAACCCGTTAGATAGATTAAACATGCCAGGGCCATACAAGTACACATATACATGTACATATCTATATATATATATATATATATATGTATATTTATATTTATATAGATATATATATATATTTATATATACATATATATACACAGGTATATACATAGAGGGAACCCTACCCTAAAGACCAAAAGCATACGTGAAACCCACAGGTACCTTTTGGGACAATCCTGCAGTACCTCGACTGAGCATACAGGAAATTTGCCAGTGATAGCACGACAGGGCAGTCCACGATGAGCCCATCAGAAGTAATCTTGGGGTGCTAGCATAAGCTCCTTTAGAGCCGCCCTCAACCCTAAACCCCAAAGCCTGCCCTAAGGGTCCGTGTACCCACATAGCAGTATACACATTTCCCCCAATGTACCTATTTAGGGAGCACTTTAATGCCAAAGTATATACTACTTGAAACTACCTTGATGTGCTGGCACTTCTAATCTGCAATCACCATCATGTCGTTGAAGATCCATAACAGTGGGTAGTATAGGATTATCGCGTCTTGGGAAGGCTTTGCCCGAAATGGGACCTAGGGCTGTGGTGCTGAGACTTGCGGGTTATGCATCTTTCCGCGTTTGTGGCCATAAACGCGCTCACTTCCCTAAGCTCCCTGTTCTAAAGTCGGGACTCTACAATTCTACAACCCTACACCTGATGACGTTTCCCCTGTCAACATCTACAGAAGTACCATGCACCTAAGACCCACAGTCCAAGCCTTGCTAAGATTCAGAAAATACCTTTAAGCCCTAAACCCTCGAACCCCACCACATACAACACCGAACACCATAGATCAGTAGGCTTTAAAGCCCCCAAAACCCCTACACCCTAAAACCTATTACCCCTAAACCCTAAACCCCTAAACCCTAGTATTGCTTACTAAGAGTAAGTTTCAGCAAAGTCGCTCCCAGAGACTCTCGGCCGAGGACGCACAGAGCCATCAGCCCGGCGTCGTAGTACTGCTGGAAGTACTCCTGTAGGCTGTTTTTCGGGATCATTCGGGTTTTGGGACTTAGGGGTCATAAGAGTTTAGGGTTTGGGGTTTCTGAGTTTAGGGCGTAGGGTTGATAAGCTTAGGGTCAGGACTAAGGGCCCTAGAAGCCCTGCTGCCTCTGCAGCAGGGCTCTGTTCCTGAAACCTGCAACAAACCTACCCAGAACCCACCTTGGTTGCTGAGTTCATAAGCCCCAAAAAGTGTACTCAGTGGCTAGTATGATCCCAAAAAGTTTAAAGTGTATCCACTCAGCTACTAAGCCACTAACCCACAACACAAGTAATTAGTCCCTAAGCTCGTAGCATCCAGAACCGGGAGGTTTTCTGCTTTCGGAATGTTGAATGTTCAAAGGTGAGGGATTCTGGGTATTAGGGGCTCAAGGTTGTTCGGTATTCTGAGTCAGCCAAGGATTCTGCTTCGAAGGCCTCTTCGAGTCTGTCTCAAAGCCTTCTGCTACCACAGTATGGTGCGGACAAACCAGCCGACGCCTATCCGAAACCCGGGACCCCTGCCGTTCGAGTAGACACGATGCGCAAGATGGTTGTCCCAATCCCGAAAACGCTCCAAGGCCCTCGCAGACTGGCAGCCGAACATCATGACTCGAGTTCTGATGACACCCTCAGCCTCCCACCGAATGCTTTTAGTTAATAGTTAAACAGTCGGTAGCATGACGTGTAGTGCGAAAAGGTGTCAAACGGTGTATGACGGGGATCTTTCCCCACTCTCGAAGCCCCAAACCCACAGCCCTACCCTTTAAATGCTTTACCCCAAACCCTAGCCGTCATTCGAGAGCCCAAAAGTTGAAACCCTAGCCTAAACCCCAAAGCCCACAAAGTCTAAGTCGAAAACTCAAGCTCCAGCCCCCTTCTCCCAACGGAAATGAGTGCAGGGCTTTCTTGCGAGTAAGGGTCCATTCATTAGGGATATACAAGATTGGATCTAGAATGTTGATATTATGGGCTGCTGGATCGCTTCATGGCTTTATGAGGGTTTTCGCGGTTTTACATTCCTCTGCGGGTTGTATACGGTTTCAAGGCGGGCTTTCTTGAAAAGGCTTGCGTTCATGAGCAAGCCCGCTGTCCAGCAAAGCTGTTCGCGCACGTCCGTCACGTGCTGGTGCTTCAAGAGTGCCTGGACTTAAGAAGGGTTTGGGGATGTTTGGAGTGTAGGTTTACGGTTTAGGGTCGAGGGTTTGGGGTGCCAGGTTTTGGGCTTAGGGTGTTAGGTGTAGGGTTTGGGGTGTAGGGTTTGGGGTGTAGGGTTTGGTGGTATAGTGTAAGGGCGTCATTATACTTTTATCGGTTAGAGACTGTCGGTTGTAGTGAAGAAGCTTTGGTTCAGGTTTGCATGGTTTCGGAACGCGACCCTTCAAAATTGGGTGCGGGGTGAGGGAAAGGGGCGCCTGACTGATTAGGACAGGGTTGAGCAGATGCTACAGTAACCGTAAAATAATGGAGGCGGCCTCCAACTTGTAAGAGGGAACACTAGTAACTACGACGCATCCAGACCCTTAGTAAATTCCGTCTGCAAAAGAATCGCATTTCCAGGAGGGATCCTTCAATCATGGGATGTCGGAATCTCCGAGACAACTCACAGCAGCCTGAGCCCCAAATTCCTCAACTCTACAGCCCAAGCCCGGACTCCGATGCAGGAGAGATACGCAGGTTCCCCGCGCCGAACTTCTTCTGCGGATGCCCCTGACCACAAGGGGCGAATCGTTCAACCCTGAAACTTCTTTAGGTTTGGGGGGCTTGAAACCACTCTACACCTGATTGATCTAAAACAAGGGGGCTTGGGGACCCAATCTTCCCCAAATACAGTAGCCTGAGTTAACCTCCTTAGTTACCCAGAAGCTTCAAGAGTGTTTGTGCCCCTTCATATTCTCTACCTAAGTATGAACAGTTATCAAGCCGCATACCGTACACCCTTACGGTCCTTATGATATTTATTTTATACTCGGACTGCGTGCATAAGGGTCGGCGCACCTTAAGTTGCACAAAGGAATTTCGGAACCCGATAGGGTCTAAGACTGTAAGGTTTGACCTACTTCAATGATTACGCCGCGAACTGCAGAAAGGATCTCAGACAGGTTCATAATGTCTAGACTGCCTAAAGGATTATCCCTAAACCTGTACAGAAGATCTAGGTTGATAAGGCGTAAAAACCTCAGTTCAGGGCCTTGGGCTTTTCTGGCTAGGCTACATAGGGGGAGAGGGGTTTGCCAGCTCAGAATTTCAGAACACTTTGACAACCGTTTAGGGGTTCATGGCTTCGCGTTCACGGTTCTGGTTTAGGGTGCAGGGCTCATTGTCGACAGCTTCAGGGTTGCGGACATTCGTCGCGGCGCTCAGGTGCAGGAATTCTCCGAAACGGAGGAGAGTTCTCCACTAGACCAATCCGCAACATTGACACCAATAGCCTGCATCCGCAAGGAGGTCAGCCCATTAGAAAAAAGCTCCCCTTAATCTGCGGAAAGCTCCGTCTGTATCGAATCTCAAAACCGCTGACTGAAGTCTGGCTCCTATAGCTAAGCAGCCAAACAAGCCCTTGAATGCTTAACCTCTGGGCCATAGAACCCTCGTGCTCTCATGTAGGCGGGCCTTAATAATTGGAAGAGGTATTTCGGGCCCATCTTACTATATATATATATATATATACATAGGGTCTGGGATCGAGCAGTCCACGAGCGGACTACCATTGCCCAAGACCCCAGTGCACATCGTGCACGCTCTGTGCCGCCATTGGGCTGCCACGACCGTTTGGCTCAGCCAGCTGGCATTGACGCCAGCGCAAGCAACGCTCTGTGGCACGAAACTCGATACACAAGGCCGAGCTGAGCTGTGACAACAAGGCAGCCGCCGGGTGCTAAGGTAAAGGCCCGGTCCAAGCAGCAGCCGGACAAGGACAAGGCTCAGCGAGCGCAAGGAAGTACGACGACGGTCTCGGCTTCTTCGCACAGCAGCCGGACAACGACAAGGCTCAGCGAGCGCAAAGAAGTACGGCTACAGCGACGAGTTCTTCAAGCAGCAGCCGGACAAGGACAAGGTTCAGCGAGCTCGAGGAAGTTGACTACGGCCACGTCTTCTTCAAGCAGCAGCCGGACAAAGACAAGGCTCAGCAGTGCTTTCAAGTACCACTGAGGCCACGACTTCTTCGCGCAGCAGCCGGGCAAAGACAAGGCTCAGCGGGCACGCAGAAGCACGTCTACGGCCACGACTTCTTCAAGCAGCAGCAGCACAAGGACAAGGCTCAGCGAGCGCAAGGAAGTACGACGACGGTCTCGGCTTCTTCGCACAGCAGCCGGACAACGACAAGGCTCAGCGAGCGCAAAGAAGTACGGCTACAGCGACGAGTTCTTCAAGCAGCAGCCGGACAAGGACAAGGTTCAGCGAGCTCGAGGAAGTTGACTACGGCCACGTCTTCTTCAAGCAGCAGCCGGACAAAGACAAGGCTCAGCAGTGCTTTCAAGTACCACTGAGGCCACGACTTC